TCTTCATTTTTGCTTTCCTGCAAGATGGGATAAGCACATTCATCCACTACCAGTGGATAAATGGGCCATTATTGGAGAAACATTCTGGAGGTTTCTCAGATTTGACCTGAAGGAAATGGCAACATGCCCATACAGACTTGAGTGTGAATATCCTTAGAGGTGTCATTCATTCAGATGGCTTTGGCCAGCAGTGAGTCCTGGCCAAATATATCTAGACTGTCCCTGCTTTGGCACTTGTTTGATGACCTGCTGGTGCTTATACTAGTCTTATGGAACATGGAGGAAGACCACAGTCTCATGACCTCACCTGAAGGACACTCTTCAACAGAATTTATCAAGGTTGATGTTGACTTTTGTCACTGGGCTTCAATGGTGTCTATACCCTGTGGGACAAAATTATAAAGCACTGTCTAACATGGATAGGCAGTGATGCCTTGTCTTCTTTTTTTGTTTTGTTTTGTTTTGCTTTTTTTGTTGTTGTTGTTGTTTTTGTTTCTCGAGACAGGGTTTCTCTGTGTAGCCCTGGCTGTCCTGGAGCTCACTCGGTAGACCAAGCTGGCCTCAAACTCAGAAATCCGCCTGCCTCTGCCTCTCAAGTGCTGGGAATAAAGGCGTGCGCCACCACCGCCCAGTGATGCCTTCTTAAGTTCTTGTCTTCTTAAGTTCATACTGTATACAAAATTTGTACCTTTTCTACATAGGAATTTGTCTGTTCTTGTTTATTTATTAATTTATTCAGTTAATTATTTGCTAGCCTGGGTTCAAGAATAGTCTATCTTGGGTTATAATACAGGAAAACTTTGTTTTGTTGTTTGACTTGTTCATCTTGTTCCTGTGTTTTTTTTGTATGTGTGCATGTGTGTGTGTGCGTGTACATACTTTCTGGTACTATAAGGTTTCCCAGGCTGATCTAATATGTTTTCTGCCTCAGTTCTAGAATCAGCCATTTCGACACCTCTGTTCTCTTTATTAGAAAGTGTTGTTAGAGGCCAAACTCTAGGTAATGGGTGTGTGCTTTGCTGCTGGAGAGTCATTGCTTCTAGATCCTCTCAACTAACAGTGGAAGGAAAGTGTGTGTGTGTGTGCGTGTGTGTGTGTGTGTGTGTTTCCTGAATATATCTGAATATCTATAAGTATTTTATATGTAAATATCTATAGCTATATGGGAGTTGAAAAGCATTTACTAGAGATTTGGGGTCTTTATGGCATAGAGACAGCAGAAAGAGACAAGGCAAATAAATGTGCAGGGAATACTGACAAGGCTTTAGAGCAGTGGTTCTCAACCTGTGGGTTGCAATCCCTTGTGGGTTATATATCAGATATCCTGCATATCAGATACTTACATCATGACAATAGCAAAATTACAGTTACAAAATAGCAATGAAATAATTTTATGGTTGGGGGTCACAACCTGAGGAACTATATTAAAGGGTGCAGACATAGGAAAGTTTGTGAACCACTATGTTAGGGGGCTTCAGCTCTTTGCTGACATGGTAGGCAGTTTTCTGAAGAAAGGCTTTTATTGATGTGCTAGGTGGGCTGTCAGCACTCATCATCTTGCCTGAGAGTTTTGGGTGCTAAAAAGAACAAAGTGAAGCAGCAGCTGCAATGTAGAAAGACCATGCCTTCCTACAGGTTGAATTGAGTATGTACGGAACTAAATTTCACAGAAGAACTGTGAGGCAGAGTCCATATGTACTATAAGGATTTCTTTCAGAAAGTTACTAACTTGGCTTTGTATCAGAAGTATATCTGAATGCGTATCAGAAACCCCAACCATTGCTATCATTGCTCTGTGTTTCAAGTTAGTTTAGTATTTGTCAGCTTGGTAGATGAGACAATGCTTATTACTTATATTTGCATCTGCCTAATTGTTTCAAGCCAAATTTCTACTTATCATTGACCATTTATTTTTTCTATTAATTGCTTATATATAACTTGTTCATTTTTGTCATTCTTATTTTTGTGGCATCCTCTGTGATTCATTAACTAACCTTTTGGCAGACATGATACTGATATTTCCTCCAAATTTTCCTGGCCCTTATTTATACTCACCTCTTTTGAGGAGTGGGAGTAGTTCTTTGGATTGAACCCATAGCCTTACATACACTAAGGAAGTGTTCTATCACTGAGCTATATCCCCAGCCCTTTAAAAAGAAGTGGTTTTTGCCGTGGTCTCACTAAGTTGTCCTAGGTTGGCCTCAACCTCACTGCATAAGCCTAGGCAGGCCTTGAACTTGCCATCCATCTACCTGAGCGTTGTAAGCAACTAGGTAATGCAAATTTATTTATTTATTTATTTATTTATTTATTTTGGTTTTTCGAGACAGGGTTTCTCTGTGTAGCCCTGGCTGTCCTGGAACTCACTCTATAGACCAGGCTGGCCTCGAACTCAGAAATCCTCCGCCTCCCAAGTGCTGGGATTAAAGGCGTGTGCCACCACCGCCCAGCATAATGCAAATTTATAAACCCAAAATTTTTATTTTATATCATCAAATCTGTTGTTTTTTTGATGCTGCCTTTTTATGCTAAGGGCAGGCAGGTTCTCACTGTGTTGCCCAGGCTGACCTTAAGTGATGCTCCTCCAGCCTTAGACTTCAAGTAGCTTAGATTATGAGTACACACCACCATGCCCAGTGTGATGGCTAACATGGATTGCCAACTTGGCAGGATTTAGACGTATGTAAGAGACAAACCTCTAGGTACATCTGTGAGGGACATTCCAGATTAAGTTAGCTCAGGTGGGAAGACCTACTATAAATGTGGTCAACACTGCTCTGTTGACTGGAGTCTTGGACTGAGAAAGGAGGAGAAAGTGAGCTGACACAAGCATTCATTTCTCTCTGCTTCTAGAATGCAGGTGTGCTGTGTTTATTGCCTCAAGTTCTTGCTGCCATGCCTTCCCATTGTGATGGACCACAATAAATAAACCCTTCCTTAAGTTGTTTTTCATTGGTATTTTATCACAGTAAGAAAAGTAGGTAATGCATCCAGCTTGCTTTTGTCACAGTATCTGTTTGTTTGTTTGTTTGTTTGTTTGTTTGTTTTGAGACAGGGTGTCTTTGTGGAGCCCTGGCTGTCCTGGAACTTGTTCTGTAGATCAGGCTGGCTTCAGACTCAGATAATCTGCCTTTCTGTGTCTCCTGAGCCCTGGGATTGAAGGCGTATGCTACCACCAGCCTGGGCACCCATGATGTTTTGATGACATAGTTCCTTAAATATTTTCTCCATTTCTTCAGTAGATACTGATCTATTTAACATGTTTCTGAAAGAACTAGAAGTTGAATCCAGGACCTCATGCTTGATTGGCAAGTGCTCTTCTAGTGAGCCAACCTCATTAACTTTCATCTGTAATGAGGTCAGTTTTTCTTTTTTTAATAGTTTTGATATATTCCTTAGGCTGTTCTAGAATTCAGAGATTTCTTGCCTCTATCTCCCAAATCCTGAGATTATAGGAATGCATTGCTACATTTAGTGTGAGGTCAATTTTAATTTTTGTTTCAGTGCCGAGGATGAAACCCAAGACCTTGGAAATGCTAGGCAAGGCCTCTACCAGCAAGCTGCTTCCCCTGACTCTGCAATCAGTTTATATACATGAATTTTCTTATGATAGAGTCTATTTAACCTAGATTTTCAAATGGAGTTGCAAAAGGCATTTCTAACATTGTCTGTTTTTTTAACTTCCTCCATACCAAGAGTTACTTTCCTTTGTAGTTTCTCATTTTGTATATTTGTGCTTATCCCTTTTTTGATGAAATTAACTAATTTAATTTTCTTTTTTATTTGCTATAAGAACAAAGATCCTACTTGACTATTTGATCTTCTGTTTTCTGCTCCTTATTTCATTAAGGAGTGCCTGTATCATTTCCTTTCTTTCACATTATTTTGATTGGCATTCTTGTTTGTTTGTTTTTTCGATATGCTTTGAACTGAAAATAATTTTTTATTATTAATTAATTACTTTATTTATTGGCACCCTAAATGTTGCCCCCTCTTTGAACCCCTTACAGAAATCTTCCCCTCATCCCTTCTCCCCTTCCCCTCTGAGAGGGTGCCCCTCCCGGCATCCCCCCTCCCGGCATCCCCCCTCCCTGGGGCATCAAGTCGCTACAAGATCAGGTAAATCTTCTCTCATTGAGGCCAGACAAGGCAGCCCTCTGCTACATATGTGTCAGGAGGCCTTGGAACAGCCTGTATATGCTCTTTGGTTGGTGTCTTAGCCTCTGGAAGCTCCCAGGTGACATACTGTGAAAACACACACACACACACACACACACACAACTGAGTCCTCACCTTGGTGCACAGTATAAACAGGAAGTGAAGGCTAAGACATAAGACAGAATTGGGAATATTTTGATCACAAGAACCCAACACAGACCCACAATCACAAAGACTGAGAGAGGCTTCTGTCCTTTTGTGCTTGAACCTGTGCTTACTCTATCATTCAGACTGGGTGTAGATGCTATGGATGTTTTCAAGAGCAGCAGTCAGAGGACGCTCTTCTTAGGCACAGGCACCTGTCACTAGGAGGTGCCAGGGAGGGAAGAGCAACTCTTGGGGCACTGTGCTTTTTAGCTATTTCAGATTTCTTCTCTGAGACACTGGTCCACATGCAGCCCTAGAGCTGATCCTCACTCTGCTGTAGCTGCAGAGTGGAACTCACCCTGCTCTCTATGGGAGATCAAAGCAACAGCTGCTCATTCAATCCTGTGAGGGACTACACAGGACTAAACCCAGCTTGCCCCTGTAGTGGATACAGTTGTGGTCCAGGACCTGTCAGGCTCCTCTAATGTTGGATGGACAACCTTTTATGAAATCAGTATTTAGCTTTGATTTATAGTTTCCCCAGAATTTGAGCGCCTCCCTGTCTCTCTGGGAGCCTAGGAAGAGCGTCCTGGACAGCTGGCTTGAAATGATGAAGGACCTCCAGGGCAGGTGACAGGATTCTGTCCCTCTGCAAACAGTGCCAACCAAATAATAAATGCCATTTTTCCATACAGGAAGGACATTCCCATAGAACATGTGACACACATGGACAGAGAACAAACCAAGAAAGTGGTGTACTCCGTGGTCTATGGAGCCGGTGAGCCATAGGGAAGGACTGGGTTCTTGATGTCATCCAATGGCAGAATGCCTGTATTCAAGTGTGCTGTGCCTCAGAAAAGCCACTCTGTGAGTCTATGCTATTTACACAAACACCTCAGTGGTAATGTTATAAGACAGTAGTCAAACCACTCCATGCCACTGACTCACAGTGCCATTGATTCTCTAAGGCAATGGTTCTCAATATTCCTAATGCTGTGACCCTTTAATACAGTTCCTCATGTGTGGTGACCCAACCATAAAATTATTCTTGTTGTTACTTCATAACTGTAATTCTGCTACTGTTATGAATCATAATGCAAATATCTGTGTTTTTTGATTGTCTTAAGCGACCCTGTGAAAGAGTCGTTCGACCTCCCTCAAGGGGTTATGACCCACAGGTTGAGAAGCACTGCTTTAAGAGCAGCAATAAAGGTTCAGCGTCTGTCCAAACCCTACCCCACATCTCACCACAGTGATAGACATCATCTCTGTGCTTAGAAACTCTCATCCCTAAACACACACCACTCAAAATGGGAGCTGGTAGGCTCTGGTTCTGCTTCTTAGCACATACTCAGTAATAAGCTGTACTTCTCTTTCTCCTCTTTCCAGAACCAGGAAGTAGTCCTTCTACTTTTCTCTCTTGCACTCTCCTGTTGACCCACTCTCCTCTCTTCTTCTCTCTTGTACTCTCCTGATTAGTCTGTCAGTAGTGGATTTTTTAAAATATTTTTTATTTATGTGTTTGAGTGTTTTGCCTGCATGTATATTTGTGTATCATGTATGTGCACTGCCCCCTAGAGGCCAGAAGAGAGCAAAGGCTCTGGCAGAGCTGCTATGTGTGTGCTGGGAACCATATTCTAGTCTTCTGGAAGAGCAACCAGTGCTCTTCACCATTGAGCCATCTCTCCACCTCCTTGAGTATGTTTTTTCATCACCCCGGATTATGCTAAAATAGGGACTAGTTCTCCCTCAGAAGAAGGTATGAGCCCTCCGTTCCTTCCTTGGGGAGCAGTCTGCTGTCACAGATCCAGGCCTGCATGGATCTCCTTGCTTTGGTCTTACTGCTTTGAGCACAGCGGGGGTTGTCCATAGACCCTGAGAATAGTCTCCTCCTGACCATTGGAGTCTGATGTTCAGTCAAGGAAAACCAACAAAACTACAGAAGCCTCAGTGTAAACCTTAGCATGGTGCATGCTCGTCACTCCTAGTTATTACCTCACAGTCTCTGTAACTGCAGCGCTGTGGATGTGTATTTCACATGCTTCTTCTGGATCACATTGTCTTGTCCAGAGCCCTCCCCAGTACTCAGGGCTTTGCACTTGCCCTTGTTTCACAGGTATGTTTTTCTCATATGGATAAAACTCATCCATCTTTACCCAACTCTCCCTTTCTCAGCCATCATCCACCACTGTATTAGTTACTCACACCTAAGCAGTAAGTTACCACAGAAGGCACATCTGTGATCTCATGGTTCGTGTTGTACCTGCCTTGCAGGCTACACTCTGCTACAGTCTGATAGTTGGGGCTGTGGTATCACCTGAGGCTCCACTGGTATTCTTCTTTCCTCAGCTTCTGTCTCCTGCTGGCCCCATGGGTCTCTGGCATGAACACTCTGCACTGTGACCACTTTACACTTCAAAGCCAGCTGGCTGCCAAGTACCAGCTGTATGCCCATTCATCTTGTTCAGGGTAAAATGCCCATACTGAGCATGAGCCCAAGAGGCCAGGAGTGCCCATCAGTTCAGTTCTGCTTACTAATACAGAGAAGCACAAAGCATCCACTGTGCAAGTAACAATGCTCTGAGAACATCAGACCCTATGAAGTGTCTAGAAAGCAATGTGGAAGCCAGTAATCAAACTTAGGGTAAGATTACAATCATGATACTAGTGGTTTTCCTCAGTGTTGCCTGTCCCATTTCCTCCTCAGCCTCTTCCGTATTGTCTCCCAGACTTCAGGTGTCTCTGCCCTGGGGCAGGGAAAGCAACATTCTACCAGACTGGAATTTGATATCTTGGATCCTCTTGTAGATCTGCCATACCTGGAGTTCTGCACTCACAATATTGTCCTCCACCGCCACCTCCACCCCTACCCCAGGGCTCAAATCCAAGTTCTAGTCACCTCTTGACCTGGTAGCCTCACAAAAAACTCTGTACCTCTTTGCCCATATCTTTCCACTTAAAGGTTCCTAGGGGGTTGCTGGAGCTACAGCTGGTATAGTTAAGTTGCATCTCTGTCATCTGCTTCCTGTTTACCTCGCTCCCATTTCAGGAGAGAGCTGTGTGGCTAAGCTTCAAGAGGTCTCCTCCCCTCCAAGCTGGAGCTGGCACAGGAAGGATGGGTCCAAGATGGATGTGCAATTGTCCTAAGTGTTACTTGGCCTTGGTCTCTCCAGTAGTAGAGTCAGCTCTCACCACAGTAATTGTTTCCCAAAGAAACATGGCCTCACAGCAGCCGCTGGCTCCTTCTGAGCTTTCACTTGTGTTTTCTGGAGAGGACTGTAAATAAGCAATGAGTCAGTAGCTGTGATGCTAGTGAAGGGAGTTATTTGCTGCTTTTAGCTCTGGTGGTGACAGGGGCTCCCACCCTGAGCTTCTATCTCTGTTGCTCCATTGTTCCTGCTCCACCTAACAGCTGGAATTACTGTGTCTCTGCTCTTCAGTTCATGATGTCTCTGTCCCTCCCTTATTTGAGCCAGACCTTGCAGATGAGCAGGTTAGGGGCATAATAAAACCACCAGGCTCCTGTGCTAGGAGGGCCTTGGGAAACCCAGTGGAGGAACCTTGGACAGGCAGCTTGTGATGACATATAGGAGTGTTTCCACAGAAGCCATCCCTGAGTAACCCAGAAGCTGCTGATAGTAATGCCTTGCCAGGGAGAAACATAGCTCTAACACCACCTTTAGAAAATGGCTATGTGATTGATCATTGTGAAAGCTGTGATGAGAGCAGAAGGAAAAGCCCCGGGGCTGTGAGACAAGCAGAGGCGTGGGAGTGCGTGCCCAGCCTCCTGCAGCAGGTATGGCAGCCCCTCCTGGCCTCCTGTCACCGAAGATTTATGTATCCCATGTGTTATCTAGGATCTTGACCCAGAGCTGGCTCACAAGCACATTGCCTCTCCTATATCCAGCTAAATTCAGCATCTTCCAACTTACTGGGCACCTCCCCATCTTGCTGGGCCTGCTTATCGCCATCTGTGCTAGTTGATTTTTGTAAACTTGATACAAATCAAGACATATCTGGGAAAAGGGAATCTTAACTGAGAAGTGCCTCCAAGAAACTGAAGCCACATCTATGGGCATTTTCTTTATTAATAATTGATGTGGGAGGCTCTGGCCCACTGTGGATGGTACCACCCATGAGCAGGTGGTCCTGTGTTGTATAAGAAAGCAAGCAGAGCAAACCATTGGAAGCAAGCCAGTAAAACAGCATTTTTCCATGGCTCCTATTTCTGCCTCCAGGTGCCTGCCCTGCTTGAGGTTCTTCCCTGACTTCCCTCAGTGAAGGACTGTTACCGAGAAGTGTAAGATTAAATAAGCTAGTTCCTTCCCAAGTTACTTTTGGTCATAATCTTTATCGTAGCAATCGAAACCCTAACTAAGACACTATCTCTGAGCTCAACAGGACTCTAGCCCCTACTGGAAGTCATTCCTAGCCCCCAGGCTTGCTGGGCTCCTGCTTTCTGAGGGTTGGCCTAATGCTGAGTCCTCCCCATGATTCCTCAGTGAACTCCATATTCAGCTGTTGTACAATCAGCAGGAACTCACTGGATGCATGCAGAATGTCATGCCTGCCCCTAAGGGACCTGGCTCTGCCAGGAGAAACACAAAGTGAAACAAAGCTTCATACTGAGTACCCTGGGGATTGTACTTACGATGGAGCTTCAGAACCTGGGAAGCTGCCCAGAGCAACAATACCTGGGTTGTATGGGAAGTCCTGTTCAAGTAGACCAGACAACATTCTTGGAACTCTCTATGGCTAGGCACTTTCTCAGTGCTGGAAACAGAAATGGCCTAGTTAACACTTCTGTTGCTGTTATAAAGTAACCTGCAGAAATCAACTTAGGGAAGAAAGAGTTTATTATACTTACAATTCCAAGCTACAGTCCATTATTGCAGGAAAGTTAAGACAGAAACTTAAGCATCACATCCATAGTTCTTGTGGAGAGAAGAAATACATAGATACTTGTTTGCTGTTCCTTTATACTATTCAAGAACCCTGCCTGTGGAATAGTGCTGCCCACAATGAGCTGGGTCTTCCTGCATCAGTCAAAATAAGTCTCTATAGACGTGCTCACAGAGCAACCTGATCTTAGATAACTCCTCAGCTGAGGCTCCCTTCCCAGGTGGCTCTAATTTGTGTCAGGTTAGCAGTTAAAACTAAGAGCATAATCTGCTCATGTACTTGACATTCAAGCTCTGGAACTTTCCACTCCAAACCACAAAGTCAAGAGGTGACTGATTCATCTTTATTTTATATTCATTAGTATTTTGTGTGCATATATGTCTGTGTGGATATCAGATCCCTTGAAACTGGAGTTGCAGGCAGTTGAGAGGTGCCTTGTGGGTGCTGGGAATTGAACTCAGGTTCTCTGGAAGAGCAGACAGTGCTCCCAACCACTGAGCCATCTCTCAGCCCCTCATGTTCATTTTATAATGTAAAATACAATCCAATCCCAAAAACCTCTCAATGCCTTCAAAAATTCCAGCACTTCAAAAGTCCAAAGTCTCTTATAAAGTCTCTTAACTGTAGGCTCCTATATAGACAAAAACAATTTTCATCCTTAAGTGTTTTTCTTCCAAAAGGGAAATGCTGGGACATAACAAATGAACAATCAAAAACCAAAATTTAAATTTTAGCAAAACTAAAATATAGCATAGACCCAAATCCTATAGTTCAGCACCTGACATCTGAGATTCACTCAGTCTTCTGGGCTCCAAAGGCCTTGGGCAGCCCCACTTCTCCAGCCCTGCCATCTGCAGCATACGTAGTTTCGTTGTTAACCAGCTCCATTTTGTGCCTAAAGCATTTTTGAGGGGTAGACATCATACAGTTCTAGATTCTCCAGTATATTGGGAGGGGTGTCTTAATAGCAACTGAGGCTTCTCTTTCAGCAATGGCCAATCAAGGTCCTTCTTCAGGGACTGCAACTCTGTCACAAGATTTCAAGTCTCAGATGTTCTCAAATCCTCCCTTTAAAACCTTCAAAACCAGTACCACATGGACAACTTACATTACCAAGTTCTGCTGAAGTATAGCCTCACCCACTTTGACCACAGCTTATTAGCTCTTGTGTGCTGATACTGAGAAAATACTTTTCTGCTGTTCCAATGCATCATAGAAGGTTTCACCTTCATGGTGTTAATCACAAGATTAGCTGATTCTTCAGCCCACAAAATAGCACACAGTTTTTTAGCCAAAATATTATGCAAATAGCCCTAGTCCAGTTAATAACAAAGCCCCGTTTCCCTCTGAAACATGATCTGGGCTTCTTCTGTCTATATTACTTTTAGCAATCTTATCTTTGAAACTTCTACAAGAATGGCCCTTTAAAGCATCTGCAACTCCAGGATCCAGGGCATCCAACATCCTCACTTGATCCTCTGCTCTCTACAGGAACCAAGCATGCACATGGCTCTCAAACATACACGCAGACAAAAGTCACACATATAAAATAAAGCCAAAAAATACTTTTAAAGAATGACTCATTAAGTTCTTCCCAGATAACCGATTGGCTTTTTCCAGCCCAAAGTAACAAGTGCTTCCAAATTCTGTCCATAAAAACAATCCAAGCATAAAAGCTACATGTGGTCAAGTCTATTATAGAACACCAAGCTTCAAGTAATAGTTTCTGCCTAAGTTAAACTTATGTTACTGCAATAAAATATCCTGGGAAAATTGTTTATTTGGGATATAATCCAGGATGCTTAAACATATAAAGAAATGGGATTCCTTGACCATAGTCATAGACCTGAGACAACCCAGATGTTGGAATTGTAGACAAGGATTTCAAAGCTGCTCAAGAGCATAAAGAAAAAATGCTCACAACCAATGGGGAAAAACAAAACTTGCCAAATAAAAAGAGCCAAATGGTAAACGGTAACTCTGGAACTGCAGTGAGCAATATCTGAAATTAAAAGCTCCCCAAATTAGTTTAACATCACATTGGAAATTAGAAAAGAAGACCATTCTAAGTCCCCCTGACTGCCTGGATGAGGGTTTCAGCCTCTGTTGATTCCTTTCTTAAAGTCTGTTCCAATGCTCTAGCTCAAAGTAATGATTAGAATTTGATGGAAGAAAGGGTTTTGATGAAATTTTTCAGTAGAATGCAGCAAAGCACATAACTTTATTGTGGAGACACCACACTATCTTCATTAAACCCCAAAGGGAATTTAAAGAGGTTTTATTTTTCCCCAGTAAAATTTGTATCAGGAAGGCCTGGACATGGGCAGAGGACCCAGGCATTTGTCCCTCTCTATTGAGAAAAAAAAATGAGCTCTCCACTCTTCTAAGCAAACCTGCTTTATCACTGCTCTAAGTGTTCAATCATGCTGCCATTACGACTCCTGAAAGTTTCAGCTGGTGAAGGTCAGGGGTGGCCTCATTAAAAGGGGAAGCAAAAGGTGATTCTGAGAGGTCAGCTAGCTCCTTTTTCAAGGAACTCTTCCTATCTTCACAGACACAGAGTTTAAGCCCTAAGCCTGGAGGTCTCTTGGGTACCCTTTGTGACCTGGAGTTGGCCAATTCAAAGGCCAATTCAAAGCTCAATGAGTCTTCCTCTTGCCCTAGTTTGCCCTAATAATGACTCTACCAGGAATCAGCTCTTGGAATCCCTCAGTGTTACTCCAAGAACACAGAACTTTCTCCGTAATACTACTAGTAGGAAAGGGCCCTGGTACCCATTCCTGAATAAGAATAGAACATTTACACATTAAACCTCAAGTATAAACCACATTGGTTTAGAGTTTGGTTCATAGGATTCCTGACCCATCTCATGGCTAAGGATTAGGCTAAGAACTATTGTTCCCAATTCATGATTGAAGAAACAGATTTATTGAGAGCTAAGCAACTTCCCCCAAGACCACTAGAATCGCTTGTGGGTGGCAGAGATGAAATCAGACCCAGGCTTGTATATCCCAATATCTGAACCCAGCAAACAGGAGACTCATATGCTAGAACTTGGTGCCACCTCCACCAGAGACTTTCAGTACTTCACTGTGGCTACTTCATAAGAACTTTGCCTCTTTGGGAGCAAAATACTGATCTAGGTCAAAAGCATGTATTCTAAAATAAGAATGCTAAGCATGGGGGCCCCTGAATACTGTATTTCCACATTTGCTATCTACTCTACCTTCCTTGTTCCTGTGGGCCCCACAGCTTTCTCCAGCCCTATAGTCAGGTCTTCTATTGACTAAGCTGAGAGTAATGAGTCTGCCTATTACAAGTTTCACGTGCAGCTCCTGGCAGACAGTCAAGACTACTGGGAGAAATAAGTTTTAAATGGCCCTATTCAGGTCAATGGCCACCCAACATCCAGTGTGTAAAGGCCAAAGCTAATATTATCCAAACCAGTCACATAAGGCCCACACCACCACTGGAACCTTTGTCCCCGAGGCCTGCAGTTAAGTAGGCCTGGACTCTAATGGTATGTCTTCCTGACTCACAGGGAAAGAGCGACTTGCTGCTTGCCTTGGAGTCACTGTTTTGGAAGCCACCCACTTTTTGGAGAGATTTTTGCAGAAGTACAAGAAAATCAAGAACTTTTCCCAGACAGTTATTAGCCAGTGTCACAGTGCAGGTAAGCCAGCTGTAGCCAGGCCTCTCTTAAAACAGACAGTGGCGTCCTCAGTTTGTTGCTGAGTGGATAGACAGACAAACGAGTGTCTGTATAGTTTGTGTATGACTTGGTGAAGTTGGGTGGAAGTGTCTGAAAGAGCCATCAGCCCTACTGGATCAACAGCGCTAAAACACTCCATGTGGAAAGGAGGGGGTTGACTGGTTTCTACCTGTCATAACAAAATGAACAAGTTTGAATTAACATGATAGCTACACATAGGTAAAAATAGGTAACAGTAGCTATCTTTTGCTACTTCGTTGGTTCTTCTTTCTTCTACACTTCTTCACCTTTTCTACCCTTTCAACTCCCTAACACTAGATAAGGGAGAAAGGAACAAGATCCCTGAATAAAGTCAGGGGTCAGAAAGGGGTCAACATCATCATTAGACTACTTCCTGCTGCTCAGGGGTGTTGAATTCATTGGAGCAAGTTTGATCTAGCCTGTCAAGCTATCTAATTTCTTCTTGTTTCTTCTTTGCCCCACTAGAGCATGTCATAGTTGGTTGCTGTGGACAAACTGAAGCATCCCCATAACCCACACCTGGGATTAAAATGAAAATATAGTCTTACAATGTTTCTGTGTTTTTCTAAAGAAATCAAAGCTCCAAAATTGCCACTACAGATAAAACCCTACACCTAGGCTGTGTGGTAGTAGTGGATGCCTTTGATTCCAGCACTTAGGCAAAGGCAGTCAGATCTCTGTGAATTCAAGGCCAGCCTGGTCTACAGAGTGAGTTTCTGGACAGCCAGTACTGTTAAACAGAGAAACCTGTCTCAAAAAAAAAACAAACAAACAGGGCTGGAGAGATGGCTCAGTGTGTTAAGAGGACCATTTGCTCTTCCAGAGGTCTACACTGAAGACAGGGACAGTGTACTCACATACAGAAAATAAATAAATCTTTAAAAAACAAACAAAACCCTATACCTGAAAGTGAAGACCATATAGTCCTACATTCTGGCATGTATTTATATGTTTTTATTTATATAGTATCTCCACAAGTAAAACATATCTGTAAAAATAGCACAATATGGATGTAGCTTTACATACACTCTGTAACTATGACTCTGTCCACATATTTGTTTGGAAATGCATTACAATCCTATTGACTGTACATTTTTTTAAAAAAGCTATTCCAATTAAACAAGTCTCACCAAAAATGTGAGACTTGGGCACATATGCTTTAATTGGGAATAAGAGGATAAAGAGCATTATTTTTGATATTTATTTATTTTAATTTGTATGTGTATAAGTGTTTTGCTCATATGTATGGTCAGTGTACAGCATATGTGGCTGGTGTTGTAGAAGCCAGAAGAGGGCATTGGATCCCCAGAACTGGAGTTACAGATGGTTGTGAGGTACCATGTGGGTGCTGGAAACCAAACGCAGGTCCTCTTAAAGAACAGCCAGTGCTCTTAATCAGTGAGCCATCTCTCTATGCCAAGTGTATTTGTGAAAGAAAGAGATTTGCAACTGTAGATGAGTTGTATTCAACACACATGCACTGAAAAATATAAATAAACAAACAAACAAACTGGAGGAAAGAGCAGCAGAGAAAATCACAGAAGGAAAGAAAGGAAGTAAATGGAGGGTCAGATATTAACAACAAGCAAAAGAGTTAATAGTTGGTGCAGAGATAGCATTCACAAGTCAGTACTAACTGGATGAAAATGAACATTGGATTGGACTTCCCATTCCTAAATGTGAGCTCTAGAATGTGCCTCCATGGTACAGCAAACACCTGTAATCCCAAATGCTCTCAGGGAGTCAAGAGATTATAGCCTGGAGCCTGAACTCATGCTCATAGGTTCTGGGCAGTCATCACAGGCTTGTTCTTGGCCTGCCTGCAGATGCCATTAGGCATCTTTTTTTGTTGTTGTTGTTGTTGTTTTTTTTTGTTTTTTTTGGTTTTTTCGAGACAAGGTTTCTCTGTATATCCCAGGCTGTCCTGGAACTCACTCTATAGACCAGGCTGGCCTCGAACTCAGAAATCCTCCTGTCTCTGCCTCCCAAGTGCTGGGATTAAAGGCGTGCGCCACCACCGCCCGGCGCCATTAGGCATCTTAATCCTGCAGCACTGTTGCAAGAGATTTGAAGAGTCTGATGTCAGAGCTATACCCTGAGGACAGTCTACAAGTAGTGAAGGTAGATCAGGAGCAGAGGTGAGGTGAGGGAAAACAACAGGGATGTCACTCAAGGAGATCCCAAGAGGCTGGGGCCCAAACAGTGCAAGTGAGGTCAGGCTCCAGATGTCCATGCACTCCGTCTTCCCCAGCTCCAACAGAATCACAACCACACCAGTTGCTCCTAAGGCTCCCAGGGAGGGCAGATCTTTGCTTGTTCACATAGTTGTATCTTAACACAAAACACAAAATTGTCCAAACCAAGATATCTCAACTGCAATCAACCAAGACTCTGCTGCTTTTGCTCTTCTACCTCCTTCCCATGCCTGGTGGCTTTAGAGTGGCCATAGCCATTTTTAAAATTTAACTGGGGGTGGGTGGGTGAGGGAGTAGATTCCTGTACCAGCATTCCCATGGCTCACCACTCACTCCTAAGTGCATGGTGGAGGCATGCCATGTATCCTGACATGAGAATGACTTTGAGAGCTTCAACCCTGAGCACCAGAATGGAGTGGCAGGGCATCAGGTCCTTTTGCACTATAAATAGGAACTCAGCAGCAGTGCTAGAAATGGTGGGTAGAGTAAAAACAAGGCTTGAAACAATGTATAGTCAGATTACACCCAATCTGGACCAAGTGGAGTTACTCCATGGACAACTATGAAACAGGCCAAAGTACATGGATTTTCAAACACTCAGCCTATTACTGTAGTTGCCAAGAGAAAAGAAAAATGAGGTGAATCCTTTTAGGTGCCTATGTCTAGAGGCACATAGTATGGGTCAGGAGAAGACTTGCACAGAATAACCACTGGAAACAGCCAGCTGGTTCATTCCAGAGATCATACAGGCCAGAATAAACTCACTGGATACCTGATACATCCAGTAAAGGCCTCACAAAGGCTGTACCTTATAGCCCTACAAAAAGGTTACTCTAAAGTCCTTGTCCCCAACATAAAGATAGGCCTCAAAGACAAGGAGATACACAAGTGACATAAACCTGCCAAGACACCGACAGATAGAAAGTAGCCACACTTATGCTGAAAACATGGGGTCTGTGATGCCCAACATCCAGCCAGAAGCTATGGACATCTGATGGCATGGGAAGCAGATGTACTGAGGCATATGATGGCCTGTCCTTTTATTCCATATTTCCCAGGGAGTGGAGGTACTCAGAACCTTATAGCTTCATGGTGATTACATTGGAGCAGCTCAGTGCTTACCTAACATATGCAAGACTCTAGATTTCAGTACTTAACACCCTACCACCACCATCAAAAAGTTACAGATTTTTTTATGTAGAGAATTCTACCAATTCTCAGACCTATGAACTCACCAATGAAAGATTTGCTTCTGACCCACACCAAGTTAAACAGAAGTCCTCACTGCTCAGGAACATATATGACCAATTGTAATGGTTATTCTTGGTTGTCAATTTGACTACATCTGGAATTAACTAAAGCCCAAAAATAGAGGCACAACTGTGTAGGGTTTTTGCATTATTTGAAGTAGGAAGATCTACTTGTAATCCAGATCTTTGAGGCACGAATCCAGATCATTTTAGCTTCTAATCTAGACCATACCTTCTGCTAGAAGCCTATATAAAGACATGGAAAAAGGAAGTTTTTGCTCTTTGCCTGCTTACTTTGGCCTTTTTAGCAAGTCCATTCCAGATTCCAGTCTACTGAAGACCACCTCAAACATCCAGCCTCATGGACTGAGCAACTACTGGATTCCTGGACTTTCTGTTTACAGCCAGCCATTGTTGAATTAGCTGTACTACAGCCCATAATTCATTCTAATAAATCCTCCCCTACCTCTATATATATGGAGAGAGGAAGATCCACTTCTAATCCAGATCTTTGAGGTATGAAGACTGGCCTTTAATCGAGATCATTTTTACTGGGAAACTTCACCTCGGGGAGAGAGAGAGAGAGAGAGAGAGAGAGAGAGAGAGAGAGAGAGAGAGACAGAGAGAGACAGAGAGAGACAGAGACAGAGACAGAGAGAGACAGAGAGAGAGACAGAGAGAGACAGAGAGACAGAGAGAGATTCATTCATTCTATAAGTTCTGTTACTCTAGGGAACCCTGACTAATAAAGATTTTGGTACCAGAATTGGTTTTAGAGCAACAGATATATAAAGATGGATCTTTTAAGTATCTTGAATAGGCTTTTCAATTTGGTAACCTACAGTTAACCAAATTTCTCCAGTTACTGAAACCTCTCTTGGGAGCTCAGAGAGTACTGAAAGCTCGTGGTGTTAACTACATTAAAAACCTAAAGAAACAAATATATTTGATTATCCTGTTTGACCAATGGATTTGTTTACCCTGTATAAGAAACTTTTGACAGTTTGGAAGAAAAATAAGGACAGCCATGATGATGGTCAGTTGCTCCTAGCATCTCGGGGTAAACTGACAAAGGAAGGGATGAGCTTCATAATAAAATTAACTTCTAGCATCTCAGAATATGATGAAGGACAACAGTGAACTTAGTGATAAAACTGACCAGTTCCAGATGCCCATAAACAATCTAAAAGTTTTCTAAGTGTGCCCTGGAAGAGAATCTTATTTCCATCAGCCACAGAGCTCAAGTTGCAGAAAATCAAATTGAAGCCATCATTGTATGGTTGCCTGAATTACAGTGAAAATGCAAGTCCCAGCATCAGAGGTAAAGAAGGAGATCTTATAACTTGGAATGGGGATATGTAGCCATTGAAGCTGAGAGCTTTGAACCCTCAGATTCTGAAGGGTTTCTCTCTCCTGAAGAAGTAGTCTTCCCTACTCTTAGCCACACCCCTTGAAATATTGTCTTTTGACCTTTTGAAATTCACCCTTGACCTAG